CAAATTAATATTAATCCAAGTTTAAATAGTACAACGGAACAATCAAAGAATATTAGGTGATCAATCAAAAACAGGTCTGAATAAATCACTGTCACGTCATTTCATTTCGGTCAAGGTGATTCATAAGCGACATGGATGTAATTTTGTGTGTAAGTATGCACTGTTAATAATGAAAACTGTGTGACCTTTATAATTACAAAGGATAGAGTTTGATTTGTAATGTAATGGTGTGAAATTGTAAATAATATCAGACTGAGTGACTAGGATAGATGGTCCAAGTAGGCTGTATGGTAAGGCCTTCCTTTCTATTGAGAGCTGTGGGATTAAGCATTATATGGAAAGCTTCAGCTACTCTTCTTTCTTTGTAGTTAGAAAAACCTTTCTGTAGTATTTTGATATTTTTGAAATCAATTTGATGACTGTTGAAAATGGCGTGAACTGCTATTGCCGATTTAATCTGAAGTCTATCTAATTCTACAGGATTATTAGGCGGTTTCTTTGTGTACCTGATATGTTCTTTAGCGCGAGTTAAGATTTCGCGAGATGACTCTCCAATATAGAAGGCATCACAATCGACGCAACCTAATTTGTAGACGCAGTTCTGTGTAGACATGAATGGTATTTTTTCTTTTAATCGAACTAAAGTATTTCGAAGTGTGTTAGTTGTTTTGTAATATACTTTAATTCTGTGTTGTCTTAATATCCGTTGGAGTTCTTCAGTTGTGCCATGACGGTATGGTAAGACTGCAGTACCAATCCATGGCATTTCATTCGAATTATTATTATTATTGTGTATTGAATTGTCTTGTTTTAATATACTTCTAATAATCTTCATAGGAAAATTATTAAATTGTAAGCTGCTAATTATATTCTTTTGTTGTTTTTGTTTGTCCTCTTCTGAAGAGGACAGAAACTTAACGAATCATGAAATCGTCCTACTGGAGAAAGGATTAAATTTCAATTTACATAGAAAACCACTTAGCACCCTTGAAGTTGCTCCAATTTTAGAGCCAATATTCGCACAACTACCAGAAAAGGAATCGCATTTATTACGTCAAAAGACTTCCCATATCTTGACTAAACAACAACACATTACACCAAACATCTCAAAAGAAGAATACAAGGCCCTACATTCGCTTAAAAAGGACAAAACGATCATAATCACGAAAGCAGACAAAGGTAACACAACAGTAGTCATGAATAGAATAGATTATGTTAATAAAGCTCTTGAACATCTTGCAACAGGACCTTATGAAAAGATCAATCAATCAAATTCGCAAACGATGAAAAATAAAGTCAAATCAGATACAAGTGAACTTTTGAAAGAGCTAAAACCAGTCATTGGGCTTCGCTTTGGTTTGCTTTGTATCCCAAATCATGTAATACTTCACGGTTTTATGGTTTACCGAAAATTCACAAACCAGATATTCCTCTAAGACCGATAGTAGATTTTACCAACACACCGACATATGCTTTATCTAAATATCTAAGCAACATATTAAAACCACTACAGCTTAACGTACATAATATGATTAAAGATACATATGACTTTAAATCAAAATTATCGGATTTAATTATTGAAAAGAATGAAGTCATGGTAAGCTTTGATGTTGTATCTTTATATACTAGTATTCCGATTGATATATGCTTAGAATTCATTAGTGGCTTACTAGAGAATGACATTACTCTATCGGACAGATGTCCTTTAAGCATCAGTTTAATCATGAGATCGTTAAAACTCTGCTTAAATTCAACTCTATTCACCTTCAACGGAACGTTATATAGACAAACAAATGGTGTAGCAATGGGTTCTCCCGTGTCCCCGATTGTGGCCAATCTTTTTATGACACACATAGAATCAAAGATTTTCTCCAACGAAATTAAACCACGAATTTGGCTCAGATATGTAGATGACACATTTGTAGTAATAAAAAAGACGCATCTAAGATTGTTTTCAAAACGGATAAATACACTTTCATCTCACATCAAATTCACGAATGAGAATGAAAATGAACATGGAGAGCTACATTTCTTAGATTGCCTAGTGAAAAGAAATATAAATGGAGTTCAAAATTTATCCATCTGCCGAAAGCCCACACACTCCAATCGTTACATCGACTTCCATTCAGCACATCCTTTCAGTGCTAAAATTTCGTTAGCCTTAAATCTTGTTAGAAGAGCCAACAAGATCATCTCTTCAGAAGAGGACAAACAAAAACAACAAAAGAATATAATTAGCAGCTTACAATTTAATAATTTTCCTATGAAGATTATTAGAAGTATATTAAAACAAGACAATTCAATACACAATAATAATAATAATTCGAATGAAATGCCATGGATTGGTACTGCAGTCTTACCATACCGTCATGGCACAACTGAAGAACTCCAACGGATATTAAGACAACACAGAATTAAAGTATATTACAAAACAACTAACACACTTCGAAATACTTTAGTTCGATTAAAAGAAAAAATACCATTCATGTCTACACAGAACTGCGTCTACAAATTAGGTTGCGTCGATTGTGATGCCTTCTATATTGGAGAGTCATCTCGCGAAATCTTAACTCGCGCTAAAGAACATATCAGGTACACAAAGAAACCGCCTAATAATCCTGTAGAATTAGATAGACTTCAGATTAAATCGGCAATAGCAGTTCACGCCATTTTCAACAGTCATCAAATTGATTTCAAAAATATCAAAATACTACAGAAAGGTTTTTCTAACTACAAAGAAAGAAGAGTAGCTGAAGCTTTCCATATAATGCTTAATCCCACAGCTCTCAATAGAAAGGAAGGCCTTACCATACAGCCTACTTGGACCATCTATCCTAGTCACTCAGTCTGATATTATTTACAATTTCACACCATTACATTACAAATCAAACTCTATCCTTTGTAATTATAAAGGTCACACAGTTTTCATTATTAACAGTGCATACTTACACACAAAATTACATCCATGTCGCTTATGAATCACCTTGACCGAAATGAAATGACGTGACAGTGATTTATTCAGACCTGTTTTTGATTGATCACCTAATATTCTTTGATTGTTCCGTTGTACTATTTAAACTTGGATTAATATTAATTTGGTTATTTATTCTCTGAAGAAGTGGCTTACACTGAGTCACGAAACGTCAGAAAATCTAATTTTTCTACTCATTGGGATATTACAAATATATAATTTATTTATTACATTATTGTTTAACATACAACAGCTAATATCTAATATTTTATGATTTCATTCTAATTCGTTGTACAGATTGTCTTTCAATATAGCCGTACATGAAAGTAGATCAGTTGAGGCAAGAAAATAATCTACCATCTGAACTCAAGTTGATTGATAAATGAATCTGAAAATAGTACTAACTGTTTGAAAATCGGACCCCATATTTGACGAGGTATTAGAGAAAATCAATGATCATGTATTCATGTGGAGTATGCGAATATTATTTGGATACCAAGTTGTGTTGTTTGATTTATATTCAGGTGGTTCAATATGTTGTTGAATCTCATTCCGTTGTGTACAACAAAGAGAGTTTAATCTACCACTATTATTCGCGTAAATGCACAAGGCAATCTTCAAATGAGATGTAATGTTAGCTAAAACACATCACCATTATTTCACATCGTTGATACACGACATTAATTGGTGCATAAAAAGCCTCAAAAAGTGTCAACAGACAGGAAATACTGAAACTACTTCATTTCCATACGTCAACTCATCCTGATAATTTTGAAGAAGACAAACAACAGTGAACATTTCAGTTTATCTAAGCCATCATCGCTCACATGGGACTGATTAGAGATATCTTCTATTGTGGAATGAGGTGTTTTTGGATGGATCGTTGACTGATTTCAGTTAGACAACGGTAACCAATCTCGAAGCACTGAACATCTGTTATAGCCTAGTAAGGAACTTGTTAGAAGTGTGCACACATCACCATGACAAGGATAGAAACCTTCATCTTTGTGTTGATATGGCGAATGGCTTACCCTAGATACACTGAGTTGCAATCGAACATTGTACGGTTGAATTGAATAAGGGATTCGTTCATTTTTGTACAACGTGTTGAGTCATGCAATTTTACGAATATTACTCTGCAACTCTTCCCATATATCCACTCACAGTATGTATTCATGTTTCTGTATCGAAAAATGAAGAGGGTGGATTGGTTTGAGAAGTTTCACTAATGTGAATGTGGGAATATTAGAGTGAGTAATGTAGATCTTCCCCCGTTGTGGAATTTTCTGTTCGGATAACTGGCCTATCATTCTATGTTAAAATTTCGAAACGTTCAATACGTCCAAGTAGGGTAGTTGTGTTCGGTCCGATTTACACTATATTAGTATACTTTCCTGAATATCCTAATTTCCAGAAGGACGGACGAGTATCTACAAGACAATATTTTCTCTCTACACACATACTGACCAACATCGTTCATTCTCATAGCCTCCCACTTCTTCATTACACAATGAATCTTGTTCAGTGAATCAGTCAAATGACTGGAGCATTATGCCCTGATGATAGTGTAGAATGATGAATACTTAAACCGACGAACTCACCATTGAATAACCGATATCCAAACTGATTCATCAACTGTTATTGCTCCGAATTAAGAAATGAGAAAAACGTCGACACTTTCAGTTAAATAACACTTTCTGAGACCTGATTGTAGGGAGGACATGTTGGTTGACATCTCGACAAGTCGACTAGAAAGATAGATTGAGTGGAGGTTTTGGACTGTCAAGTTTCATGTCACCTTGCTGGTACAGTGTCCCGTTCTCAATTTGTAGATAATAAAAACGACATCGAAATAGAAGAAATATTCCTGTTTTTGCATCCAGCTCCGAATAGTGTACTATAAGGTGTGGTATTACTATTCCCTTACATCGCTGAAGCTGTCTGCACCGATGTGATGTTTATGAGTATTTGAATTATAGTATAAACTAGTAATCACACAAACAACGCAATTAAATCAAGAAGCATTAGATGAACACGAACAAATTTATTGTATTTGGAAGTCAAAATCAAGCAATCATCAATACAAAGGAATCATTGTTTCACTCAAACACCATATCCGTCACTGTTAAAATGAGGATCTAAATTTCTGAGATTAGCCGTACCTCTTCTCTTTAGGTTCACCACGTATCTTCCCGAATGTGTAATAGATGTAGACTCTGTACGATCTAGAATACACTCATTAGTATTAAAGTTAACAACCGAAATCGGAACTGACTAACCTGATTCCTGGAGTTAAATACAATCATCATGTCGGTTGTGTAGTGAAACCACTGATATCTAGAATTTTCATCATATACATTCCAACACTATTCCCCCCCACGAAGTAATGTTGGGTCCATACGTCGCAATGTTACGACCAATTCGACGTTCTGAATTATTTTTAACTTCTTATATATCACGATTCGATTCTTATGTGTGAGCATCTGGGGATAAACACATATGAAATTTGAGGCATTCCATCATGTGCATTTGACTTGCATAAAAATTATGGTACATATTCCTTTTCTTATTCATATTACAATACACAGATAAATATGCATTGATATGTGTATTTAACACATGTGACTCATCTAGGCTTGATTCACCTGCGAAACAATCAAACGGGAAACTTACATCTGCCTCATACTCATTAGGAAAACCTTTGACATCATTTAGATTCTCCACTTGTGCAAACTTCATATCTGGACAAACTAGTTCTCTGAATGCTTCGAGAAAACTTACTATTCCCCCCGATTCATCAGACCACTGACTAGGGATTCTACTCAACATACATTGTTCGTGAGAATATCCAATATCTGATACAATAACATCAGAAATGTAACTAGGATTCGACTCCTCCGGAACATATTTGTCACACTCATTGGGGATATCACTGGAGATAAATCCCTTGTGGGGACAAATGACATTTGATATGACATCAGACTTTGATTTTTCTGAAATATTTCCCTCAAATTTATTCAGAGATTCATTAGAGAATAATGGATCATTAGGAAAATCAACATCTATCAAAACTCAATCCGGTTTTTGATCATGATTTGACTCATTCAACATATTATTCTCAGAGTTGTAAGCAATGTCATCAGAAATATGTGACTGATTATGACAAACCGCATCTGGTACAATAACACGAGAAATGTGATAAGAAGTTGGTTGATCGGAAACTTTTGTCTGACAATGATTCTGGGCTTCATTCAACATTGGACTGCTATGTAACATCATCCCGCTTCTCGAAGTTTTGGATAAAGATAGGTGATCATTAGAAACATAGAACTTAGTAGGATCACAACCACAAATTTTAGCATTGGTTTCAGAGAAATGAACCATGGTATTACAAACTGACTGAATGTGTCCAGATTGACCACATTTAAAGCATTCACAATTAAAAAATACACATGGGTGAAACATGACACAGAAGAAGCGTTTACCAAACTTGTGCACATCTTCGTGAACTGTTTCACAGATTAATTAACTGTTGTCTGAATAACCTTGATTACGTATTGAACTACGACGACGTATTAAAGTAGTGGGATTCCTGATGTCTTTTCGAATCATTCCATTGAATTTTTCTCCTTTACCGCATTCTAAATTTGTATCATTACATAGTCCAGTGGTAGTTGCTTTACAGTTGCATAAGGGAGTGAAATCGGTTTGTCTGGAAATGCCAAAGTCTGTAGTAAGCTGCATGCTTCTTTTCCGATGAACGAAAGCAAATTAGAGATAATATTAAAGTCCTCAACATCCTCTTTGGTCACAGCCCAGATTTCGAAGCTTTCCGTGTACTCCTCAAAAGCAATAAAATCCGAATGTCAGTCCAACCGTCCTATCAAAGGTTCCATCGCGAGGCCAATGTGATATTTAATAGTATTTGAATCATAGTATAAACCAGTAATCCCACAAACAACGCAATTTAATAGAGAAGCATTAGATGAACACGAACGAATGTATTGTATTTGGAAATACAATCAAGCAGTCATCAATACAAAGGAATCACTGCTTCATTCAAACACCACAACCGACCTCACAAAACCGAAAATATGCTTCTAAAAGAGCTGAGTGAAGCCTACTTAATTATCTTTGCCCATTATAGGGTTGACGCATACTACAGCCACACACTAATACAATATTGGCACAATCATTCCAAAATAAAACATTTCTCCTATTGAACATTACAATAATAAATTAATCACAGTGCACCACTCTTCACACATTTAGCATACTTAGGTGAAATTCCAACTTCACAAGTGACACATTTCGCATGCAATCGAAACACATGAAACCCACTATTGGATTCACGATTGACGCATAAACACATTATATCGATCACAGTTGTGCAACAATTATGGAGTCTGAATTTCAGAGCTTGATGATTAATTTATTGAAAATGTTCTCCCAATCTAATTCCATTTCATTACATCACTTGACAATTTTTATGGGACTAATTTCCACAACAATGATGGATCTGGTTGGAAAATCAGGATTCATCTATGAAACAATGCACACATTCGAGATCTAATGAAGATGAATTCGGTTGCACGATAGTCAGTAGCTACCAGAAAAGTAATTCCTCCATGTGATTGACGAAAATATGTGGATATGTTGTCCGTGACACAATGAGGTAAATCATTAGCACTAAAAAATCGACAGTCTAATCGTTCACGGAGGAGATGGACTACGAGCAAGTTGAGCTTTGAAGATGGATGCAACCTTGTAAACAGACTAGGGGGATGACGAATTACAAGCAATACGAGTACGGTGTTCATTAGTTCTCGTTTGGCTATTTGTTCGACTATTTTCATTTCAACATGCAGCCTATTTACAACGACAAAAATATTTGAGTGACATGACAATTTGTGATCATCAGTTGAGGGTGACCACTTTGCAGGGAATGGAATCGCAACAATGAGGCAAGTGTTTGTCGAAAATCCCAAACTAAATAGTGGTCGTTGATGTGAAACACTGTGAAATGTGTGAAATTGAAGTCCAAATGTGTTCTTATTGCGGAATTCATCGTTGGGGCTGAATCAGTGGATTGATTATGCACACAAAATGGAGAACTCGTTCAGTAGGAAAATATCTAGTCATGGAATGGTTATGGGCGCTCAACAATTTATGCTCGAAATCCACAAATGACAGATACTCAATCATCAATTTCACCTACAGCTAAATCGTTCGATTGAACCGTCTTCTCGTCTACTTATAAGTATATCTGAGAAAGGAAGCTGGTCGTTCTTCTCCTCTTCGCATAAAAGACTGATGCAGTTTTGATGAAAGTTCAGTTTATTCAATAAACAATTGATATCGTCCTCTCATTCACAGATAATTATGATACCATCCACGTATCTCTTATAAAGGAACACGAATTCGACTAGGTCTTCAGCCACATTTACAGTATATGCCATGAACACATCTGCTGATAAACAATCTAGACGGTCGGGTGAAGTGGAGTAGATGGAGAATGACTAACAATGGAATGTAGGATGGACATCGGCTGAATGTAGCTTCATTCCAGAATTGATGTTCATCCGCAGGTCAAACCTCTTACCGTTCGCTTAAGACATCAACCACTCAGTTATTAAGTCAACAATTCCACTCACCTATGCAACCGTGTGAGATTAAATTCGATTTGAAATGGTTCGGATTATCCTGTTGTTGATATTTTGGTTGAAATTTGATCAGTCTTGGTCGGTATATGGTTATCTTGTGTAGATTGCCTCCACCAAACTGACGAGTCCTAAGTTGAACGAAATGCGTGTCCTGAATTCCACTACTAGTCACATTTCACCTATCCTATATTAGTTTGTGTCATAATGGCTATATCGAGGCAATCCTCACACAATGTATATGTGTCAACCAAGACTGGTCAAATTACAGCCTAAAATACCAACAACCTGATAATCCAAACTAACGCAAATCGCACTATTCAGTAAATTGATATGTACATTTTCCTTTACTTATGAGGTCACGACAGTGAGGCATGGCACTCACTTGTCTACTAGCACAACGAATGACAATAAAATGCGAAGTCAGTGTGCGTTGTCGCTTGCGTTGAGTTATCGTTAAATATGTGTTAGTAGAATGACCAAACGAACAGGATAGTGACTGCTGAGACGAGATATGCGGAGTCGTATTCCTTTTTGGTCATGCAGCCTAGCGTGGTTTGTGTAGTTAGAGGGATATGCGCTCAACCTCATTTGTTACGAAACCTTTTTAAGGCGTAATAAAAATACCAATACATATGATTATCGATGACGGCGAGTGAGACTGACTTGGATGTGAAGAACAAGAGTGAATCTTTGAGAGACTAGCTCTAAACTCTTTGTTCTGGCGTAAAGTGCAATGGAAATAGAATATTAATTGCAGTAATCGAATAGTGTTTATGGGTAATGGATGATGTAGCATTCAGTCATACATGTGATTGAATAATCGGCTGGTAATGCGGCGTCGAATACTTGATTTGTGCATAGACATTAAACTAGGGATCATCATGAAACCAAAAATTGCGGAAGTTCGGTTTCCGTTGTCGTTAAAAATGTAGGAAACGACTATTGTTGCGTACCAATGAGATGAATGAACATTAGTTGTATATGGATAACATAAGTTCCTACTATCGGGAGTATGACTCCAAACTTATGTCTATGATAGTGTAATATTAGGCCGAAAATGACATGAAAAAGAAAAAATCGGAGCAAACTCACTTAAATCAGGACAATTTTACGTCATTGGATAATAAAAATAATCCAGTGAGTTTAGAATATCATAACGTGTAATGTCCATATAATTATAATTTGTTCCATTCGACTGCGTAAATGTCATAGTTTAATGTCAATACGAACAAAAATAATAATTCCACGTTAGATGATGATATGACGTTATTGTAATGATGAGCATATGATGATTATTCGGATCATGACGGGATACGTTGTCGGCGGTTCCATTTCTGATTTGTGTTCGCTCGTTGCTGTCGCCAATTGTGTTGTGCGTTCGTGAGTACAGATTACCAATTATGTTGTGAGTCCGTGCGTTGAGGTTGTCAATTCTGGTCCGTGTTCGTTCGGTGAGGCATCCAATTATGTTGCGTTCGCTCAGGAAGAACTCCATTATTGTAGATAAAAGGTGCATGATAAAAAAACGGCTCACCATTTATGTAGTGCCGCGCTTCAAGAATAGTTCACTTCGATAACCGTTATTATACCAATCTTAACGGTGTATAAAATCAGAAGGCAAAAGGATGCGGCAACTACATTTTTATTGATGAATGATGCAGACCAGAAAGTTGTAAGCACATGAGCAAATGTAAGCGAGCGAAGCAAAGATGATGCATAGTGGAGATGGCTGGGAAGCCATCTTGAGAGTGAAGCAAAAATAGTGCGTATTGGAAGTGGCTGAGAAGCTAACTCGCTATGAGCTAGCATTACTCAATATTTATAATCAGACAAAAATGAATGACAGACATATGATGAATAGGATACGAAGGGTACATACACATGCGCTCATATAACAAGGTAGTCAAGGTTAATAAGCGAATAATGAACAAGATCGAAATATGACTCACAATATATAGGTGAATTGGCTTGGCCAGTAGCTAGAATAAAGTATATGGGCTTAACATATAAACTGATAGTACAATGGTTCGGATTATCCTGTTGTTGATATTTTGGTTGAAATTTGATCAGTCTTGGTCGGTATATGGTTATCTTGTGTAGATTGCCTCCACCAAACTGACGAGTCCTAAGTTGAACGAAATGCGTGTCCTGAATTCCACTACTAGTCACATTTCACCTATCCTATATTAGTTTGTGTCATAATGGCTATATCGAGGCAATCCTCACACAATGTATATGTGTCAACCAAGACTGGTCAAATTACAGCCTAAAATACCAACAACCTGATAATCCAAACTAACGCAAATCGCACTATTCAGTAAATTGATATGTACATTTTCCTTTACTTATGAGGTCACGACAGTGAGGCATGGCACTCACTTGTCTACTAACACAACGTACTTCTCAATACTTCGAAACATCACAGAAACTAACGTCCGTTCATCACACAATACAAAACGTATATGGAAAACACTATTTAGAATGAATAGGTTTTATTCATCTCGAATTCAAACACGACTATATTACAGTGAGTTGAATTGAGAGGTGTGTAGAAAAATAGGACAGTGGAGAGTGTGACACAAACAAATTAGAATCATCCACAACTCAACTGGTGCCTCAGTAACTGCTTCCATAATGGTTGGGTTTGTAAGCGCCACCTTTGCCGCCTTTGCCACCTTTGCCACCACCCTTACCCTTACCGCTACCACCTCCATAAACCTTTCCATAATTGTTGCCTTTACTACCACCTTTTCCATAGCCGTTGCCACCGTTACCATAATCACCGCCATAGGGAGCAGGGAAGGCATCATCGTAGCCACCTCCACAATTGCCACCACTGCAACCACCACCATAGCCACCACCGTAATTACCACAATCTCCACCATTGCAATCACCACCATAGCCACCACCGTAATTACCACAATCTCCACCACTGCAACCTCCACCATAGCCGCCACCATAGCCACCACCATAGCCACCGCCACATTCACTGCCAGTACAGCCTCCACCATATCCACTATCGCCATAACCGCTATCACAATCGCTACCATAGCAACCGCCACCGTACCCACCCGAATAGTCACGTGATGTGGTGTGGGCGGTGGCGTAACCAATGGCTACTAAGAAGACGAGTGTGAGTGACTGTTTCATTTTCCAAATTGTTGGTGTTGTTGCACTGGGTGTGATGATATGTAGACTAGTGTGATTTATCATTTATATATTGTTTTTGATTATAGATTTGAAGAGTTGTGCCTCACTAAGTGCATCATTATTCAATACATATTACGCTTGTGCACTCTACTGTTGAACTGCCTTTTGTGTAATCGTTAATGATAGTTGAGCGTGATAGTTAAAAATATCAATGAAACAGTTAGTTCACGAATTACTCACTATTTTGATTCTACCGTTAGAATTCGTTAGCATGTGGATCATCGAAACCGTTGATTAAGTCGTCATTGAATGAGACGAAACTCTTTTTGATGACACTGACAAGTGATGTTTCTCTTGACATACAAGTTATAACTAAACAGGTTAAATGAACGTTTATTTGAATTTAACTTGTTGACCTCATAGACGATGTTGTAACGACCTTAAATAAGGGATATCTGGCAGCAAACAATCAATTCTCCATATTGTCATATTTCATCCATGACAATACCGATTTAGATAGTAGACGAGACACTAGTACTAAAAACACTCCGTTTGTTCAGGCTAATTCCTCTCAAGGAGGTGTCATATGTCAGTAATTTAGGGACAACAAGGTGAAATCATTATTGGATGACCATAAGACAAGCCAGTTTTTATTTCAGATTGTAACTCATAATTTGTATTCGATTAACATAGTTTATCCAACATCCTGACAGAAGGTCAAGTTCAAGATAAAAGATATCCTAAATAGCGTGTTAGTCGGGAGTCGTGGTGTCGGGACCCGATGCTTTGCACACTATCATTGATATATTCTCATTGTTCGGACAAATAGAGTTTGTTTCGATAGTGTGAGTGGCACTTAACTACTTTCAACATTCATCTTACTCAAAACTGCAAAAGTGAAGTGAACACTTTTAGCCAACTCCATTGTCTCTCACTCATAATTTGTTTTTGCATGATTAAGATGACGTTGTTCAGTAGTGGATTCCCGTGTTTCAGTATTATGCAGAACCGTTTCAATTCTCATAATTGATTCATTGTGTTAGTAGCTGAAACCTGAATAGATACTTACTCACGTATTGTTGACTGCGAATTGTTGAAGTATTTGCAAATCAAGTTGGAATTGTCTGTAATGGCTTATGAACAGAAGAATCTCATAAAACAAATGAAAAAGCAAATGAACTCCTTGTATCAATCACTCACTACCTTTTGAGTGAACATGAGGAATATATGAAATCTTCTACTTGCGTTAGTCAGACCACATATGAAAAGTTTGAATATGGATAGTGACGAAGTTGCACCCATAATGCCCAACTGTGCTTCCATTTCTATTCGTGTGTGAGATAAGCTGTGTTGGCAAGTTGATTTACAGTCAGATATTCTGAAGTTTACTGCATCAACTCATCAAAGCTTTCGAATAAACCTCACAACACTCTGAGTGCACAATGTATTAAGTTCATCAGTGACAAATACGTTTATTACACACCTTGATTGGTATTCATGATAACAGTGTGTTTGTTAAATTCACATATATATAGCTTCGAAGTGGATGTGGTGAATACACTTACAGATTAATAGAATGTGTTCTCGGATAATGACATTCTTAATTGCCATAACCCTTATTTCATTTATTTCAATCATGAAACAATCAGTGAACGTAATAGAATTAATTTACCTTAGACGAATATCTACACTAGATTCCCACCCAGTGTCTGTTTTTCAGGACTTCAGCACAACTCAGATCAAGAACACGAGATTAGCCTGACTATAACGTCAATATATTTACACACCAAAATCCGACGCAAAGAACAGTCAATCAATAACAGTCCATCAATAACTGTCAATACATAATAAGGATATGGGAATAAATATAACACATATAACACCTGTCATTCTATCTAATGTCTGACTCATCAAGACAACCAATCATTGTCATTCTCGCCCACACATTACCTCCCTTGCGATGTTTGATCGTATGATTTCACTTTAAGGTATATTTTAAAAAAATTCATTTGTTTCTTTTTCCTGAGTGAACTTCGTTCAACTTCTGATTTCAGATCATTTTTTCTCATTTCAACTTGTGTTGGTGGTGGTGGAATATTAAACGTATCACATAATACTTCCATTGGTAATGGTTTGAGTTTAGATGACTCATAAACACATTTTCTATCTCGCAGTTGACTTACATGTCTAATAATTAGTGTATTTTCGACCATCATTTCATACAATACTGTACCACGTCTTTTTCTTATACACCCAAATATCCATTTTGGCATGCCAGGTCGGAAATCCCGTGCATACACTAAGTCACCTGCTTTGAATTCTCGAATTTTCGAGCAATTCCCCTTCTTATTTTTTAGTAGTCCACTCATTCTGTCTTTCGGGTTCAAAACATTAAAAAATGTTTTAACTGGTCGGCCAAACATTATTTCGGCTGGTGATTTCCCGTCTTGACAGTTTGGACTTGGTGTAATTCTATAAGAAATTAGAAATTGTTGCAGAGTCTCTTCTACATTATCTTCTCCTCCCATTTTTAAGAGAGCTCGTTTAAGAATATCGACAAATTTCTCTGCCTGCCCGTTTGACTGAGGGTGATACGGTGGAGTTCTAATGTGTTCGATTCCATTTTGTCTACAGAACTCCGCAAACTCCAACGACGTGAAATGCGTTCCGTTATCTGAAACCAAAACATTAGGTTACCAAACCTACCAAATAGTTGTCTCAGATGTAGCAGTGTTTCAGACGTAGATGGTCTTCGTACAACATAAATTTCAGGCCATTTCGAGTATGAATCTACCACCACCGAAAAATATTGTCCACGTATTGGTCCAGCATAATTAACGTATAGTCGGACCCAAGGCTTTTTCGTTTCTGGTCATGGCTGGGATTCTGCTTTCGGTAAATTCAACGGTAAATCCCACAAGCCAAATTTATTAATCCAATCAATACCCAGTAGGTTGGTATTACAATTCTCAGATACATAACATTTCCTGGTCATAGTCTTTTCACCTAATGTGAGAGGTAGCTGTATTACTCCAAGAATAGTAATATTAGTTCCTGACACACTCTTAGCATTATAACATGTAGGTTGATATCGGGGTCGACCAATTTTAATCCAAGTTTCTCTAGAAATTAATGTTCTGTCAGACCCAGTATCGACTTGCAGTTTGACCGGTTTGCCATTAAAAAGATGGTTACATACTTCCTTTCGGATAAGAATTGGTCATTTTTTGTGACCAGAACAACATTTGAGTTATACGGCATTACTTTTGAAGTCTGCATCTTATTTCCTTTACGAAACTTATGCTGACGGTAGGAAACTTTCGGTTTACTTTTACAACATACTTGAGCATGACCATAATTACCACATTGAAAACATACACGTTTTTTTAAAGTAACAAGCATTTGCAGAATGACACTTACCACATCGCCAACATGACGATTTATGTTTCACTTGGTTTGGGATTTTTTGGGAGTTCGAATCTTTATTTCCACTAAAAGATTTACGTAAAGCTTTGACTCCAAAGTGTTCACTGTTCCTTTCTACGAGATTCGTGTCATGCTTCAAATTAACCATTCTTTGACATTCTTCGGATACTGATTGTAGACTGATATTAGGATCTTGTTCGATTCTCGCTAGAATCCGTGCTCTAATATCTGCATCTACTGAAGATTGTAATCCACAGACAAAAATAAGGCATTTGAACTGATCTGAAGACATTTCTTGTAAGCGAAACCGCTCACATTCCCGGTTCACGATGCTTGCATACGTTACGTAATCGTCCTACATCAAAATATGTTGATTTATACACCTATTCGACTTTTATTTAGAAAAAAGTCACATCTATGAAATGATAACAAAATCGCGTGCTGTATATTGTGATAAACATAGTTCACTTTAATTTAATGTTGAGTAAACTTCACACTGAAAATAAAGTACAGTGAGTAATCACATTGAATTAAAAACGGAAGTAATGTTAAACAAAAATCAAAATGTGTTGAAAATATGTAGTTCCTCCTTTTCCTCCGTAGTATCATAATCAACCGTAATAAGTCAGTAGTCAAAGCCTTGGTTCTGTATTTGTAATATGACCCTAAAACCGTTTCTTTAATCCTGGTTAGTTCTGTATTATGCTCAAACTTAATTTTCTTTTGCTAATAAAAATCATTTGCTCACTAGTAGCTGACTTCGAGTTGGACATCAGAAGTCTTAGTGTGTGGGAAGGTATTATTGGTGCAGCTCGACCATATAAAATATAAAGCAAGTGTATAACCGATGAAACTCGATTATATTCTCATAAACATATCATGAATTGATTAAAGCTGAGAATGTGAATTATTAGGTGCCAACTTGTTAATTCCAGAGAAATAATTCGAGCTACTACATTTGATTTCGAACCATATTAGAAACTCCCCAACCTTAGGATACATTTATTGTACATCCGATGACATTTCAGTCAATACGGCTTTTTGATTTCGAAACACCCGACCTAACTCCTAGTTATTCATAGTTGCATGTAGATGATCCCTGAACATACATCACACGTGTTCCAACCACTCCGGCCTTTTATAGTTTACGTGCATTTCAATTGAATCTATGTCATGGACGTCAACAAATCTGAGTATATTCGAAGTACTTATTTTCCACAACAATTCAAACTTCAATGAATATGGTTAGTATCACTTATTCGTTTGGTGTTTTCAAACAGTTAATGCTCTCTTACAATGTCGTTCATAGTCAGCGTTTTTCCTTGGTCGAATATGTTCAACAATCATGTCGGATACCACCAAGCTATGATGATTAGATTATTTATGTTATATCCCAACTCCACCTGTAGCTCTTCTAGAGTTACTGCCGGTCCCAAGCCATGGTAAAGGAGGAGGGTTGGCCATGCGGTTAGCGACCCCATCCCGTAGAAAAGCTAACTAGCTAAGAAAACGCTAACCAGAAAAAATAATTCAAACCATTTAAACTCTGCCCTCCAAGTTGAAGGAATAATTATGACGTCTCATGATGAAAGCCGAAATTCTTCGGAAGTCACGAGACCGATGCACCTTCTAACAAC